GCGCCGCCGCGCTTCCCAAGCGGCGCACTATAGCAGTGCGCCACCGGGCCGGCCCTACTTTCGGTTTTTCTAAATTATTTTATAGCTTATGTGAACAGTTAAAACTAACAATTTTTAGTAAAATGTTCTTATTAGTAGTGTTTATGCTTAATAAATATGCAGCTAGAATTAATCGTGGAACTGTAGTTAGAAACTACATTTGTGGTTATCTTTTCAGAAATAAGTCTTGATGGCTTTGCTGCTAGGTTATGTTTATACCTAGGGTGATTTTAAATATATAATTAGAGCAGATAGTTTGGATTGTTTCTTACCATGTAAATTCACCTAAAAACTCATCTGAAACACTTTGTATTGAGAGAGTTGATACTACACAAACAGGAATTCTTTTAAACAGGCTCTGATTTATTATGTATTTGAGAAAGTCCATTGTCTCATTTCACTTACTTGAAAGCTAATAAAGCTGTCTCCTTTTTGTATATAAGGGTGTTTGTAAGACTGTGTATAAGTTTAATTATTTTAAGTGATTGTTAAATTGAGTTATGTTAATAATGTACATTGGGTTCAGTTCAGTAGACATTTAAACATAACTTGTTTTACAGATGCGAAAATAGAGGTTCAGGTGATTTTGCCACAGCTACATCAAATAAAAGCTTGGACTTTGAAGCCCAGCATAATGGTGTATCCGTTTTGGATAGGAGGGCTTCATTAAGCCTCTGGAAACCAGAATAAATCATTAGACTCATTCCCGAGACTTCTGAATTGGCCAGTCCAAGTTATGCATTGGTTATCCAGAACTCAGATTTCTAGCCCTATAAATGGAAGTGGACCCATTAGGAGAGAGGCCTCCTCCAATATCCCCTCAAATAATAGTATCTGTTATTTCCCCTGGCAAGGTGAGCTGGGGAAAAGAGATTACACTTACTAAACAAACACCCAACATGGCTGGGCATACTGAACTGTACCACAATCTCCGTCATAACTAGTATCCGAATTTTATGGGTTAGAAGACTGAGATTCATGTTAAGTCATTTGCCCAAAGTCACACATATAACAAAGGGCAAAGCCAGGTTTTGAAACTTGATATATCAGGCTGCAAAGCCCATGATCTTTTCATTACACTGTGGTTTTCCAGACTTGTCTAATCACAGGAGTCATCTAAGGTACCTGTTTAAAAAATAAAATACTGAGCCATGGGACTTCTGGAAATTCTGATTCAGTTTTGGTCTGGGGTAGGGCCAGGTAATGTATCTTTAACAGGAATCTTAGGTAATTCTGATCATCAGGCAGGTTTGGGAAATATGACCAACTCCATCTTGTACTAAGAGGTAGGGTTTGAAGGTATTGCAGAGGCAGGAATAGAATTAGGAGGAGATACATGATTTTTTTAAAAATTGACTACTAATTTTCTCTACTAATAAAATAAGAATAGTAAGGTTAGATTGTGGAAATTATAAAATTGCTTTAAGTTCTTTAATCTACATAGAAAAACAATATTTTATTGTTATTTTTATTTCAGTTGATAATGTTTGTACAGTCTTTGGCATTATCTTTGTTTACAATGGAGAACAAATACACCATTGATGGGTATAGATAAAACTTTTAAATGCAGAAGAGAGAAGGAATTAGACAATTAAAATAACATAAAAACAGCTTTACGTATAGTACCAATTCGTTCGTGTAAAAAATGCATCTTAATCTAAAACTTTAATCCTTAAAATCATTAGATTATAAAATTTTCAATTAGATTATAAAATTTTCAAGCTGAGAGAGCTCTTAGATAGCCACATTTTATGGATGAAGAAACCACAACTCAGTGAGGCTTAGGGTAATGGCACACTTTCAAATCCATGCTGGCCAAGGTTTCATAGAACTCTTATGTATTGTAGATAACTACTAGAGAGAAGTGACTTTTCCAAGGTCACACTGGTTTTTAGAAATAAATTTAGAGGAAAATCACGTTCACCTTATATTCCCTACTTTGTTTATCTGATTTTATGTTTTCTTCCTGTTTTCTTTGCTCTGTTGAGAATGAGCATATTTAAAGGAATCCCTTTTAGGAGATTATATAATTTGAAATATTATATCTGATCAATATGTTAGAAACACGAACCATAACCTTCTTAGAAGAGTGTACTTAACAAATAATTTCAGAACATGTTATGTTAAGAATCCTAGTTTTCTCCACTTTTTTAATGAAATTTTATTTTATTTTATTTTATTTATTTTTTTTTTTTTTATTTTTTTTTAAAGATGACCGGTAAGGGGATCTTAACCCTTGACTTGGTGCTGTCAGCACCACGCTCAGCCAGCGAGCGAACCGGCCATCCCTATATGGGATCCGAACCCGGGGCCTTGGTGTTATCAACACCACACTCTCCCGAGTGAGCCACGGGCCAGCCTTGAAATTTTATTTTATGAAGAGAAAAATGAACATAGCCGTATGCCCGTACATCAGTTTTAACAGTAATAGCATTTCTGTGTAAGTAGTAGGAGCTTTGGATTTGGACTTGGGTTTGTTTATCATATCTGCAAACTTAATACTCTGATCTTGGACAAGGTATTAACTCTCAACCTAATTTTTTTTCTTTACTATAGTAAAATACCTCATGGTTTATTAATTATTAAATGGTATTAAATGAGAGAATATGTGTAAAATGGCTAGCACTAGTTTGAACAAAATGAGCAGTGAATAAATGATAGCTGGTACTATTATTTATTTTCTTGACCCAGTAGTTATTTAGAAGAATATTAATTTCTGAGTGAATGCTTTAGTTTGTTTTTTTATTCAATTTTTTATCATAATCAGAAAATATAACCTGTATGATTCCTGCTTTTAAGAATTTTAGATTTATTTTATGGCCTAGAACATGGTCAGGTTTTTTAGCTTTTCATAGATACTTGAAAAGAACCCATATTCTTTTTGCATTATAAAATTCAGTATCTGCCTGTTCTAATATAAAGTATTTCAAATGCTTTGTCCTTATTTTGTTCATTATGCTAGTGATATTAGTGTGCTAAAATTTCCCCATCCATTTTGTTTCCATTTATTTCGTGTTATAGTCCCCAAAACATCTGCTTTTGTGGTTTGTGGTTAGTTTAGTCTGTGGTTAAATGCTCAAATACAATTATGCATTTACTATTTTTAATGACTTTTTTTGTTTTCAAAAATACACATGCTAAGTGTAGAAAATCTGAAAAATAGAGAAACATACACAGAAGTAAATAAACATCTGCACTCTTACTATGAATTATTATTAAAAGATTTTTGTGTGTCCTGTATAGGCCAGCCGCCAAAAAAAAAAAAAAATTATGTGATTAAGAGTAGGGGTTTTACAATTAAATTTGGATTTGAATTTGGGCTCTGCTTATTAGCCTTAGGCAGGATATTAGACTTTTTGTGGTATTCAGCAAATATTTACTGAGCATCTACTGCATGCCAGGCATTTTGCTAGGGGCTGGAGATACAGTGCTTAAAAAGATTAACATGCCCTTCTTGGCTTAATTTCCTCATTTGTAAATTGGTGGTAATGCCTCACAAAGTTGTTAGATGCATCAAAGATGATTAGTAGTGCTTAGCATTTGCTTGGTGCTCTGTAAGAGCTCAGTAAATGATAGCAATTATTATTACTATGTGTATTCAGTACTAATTATATCTTTAGTCCAAGTAAAATGACCTTTTTAATCAGCTTAAGGTTTTTGCCTTACATTTTATTTTTGGCATTAATGTTACAAACACTTGCTTTCTTTTTCTTTATACTTTTCTATACTTATCTGTTTTGTTTAGATTTCTCTTTAAAGAAGTAAATAATTGTTTGTTTACTTTTTTAAAAATATAACCCAACTCTTAAAGGTTTTATTATCAAACATTTCAAACACATGCCAGAGTAGGAAGAGTAGTGTAATGAATGACCATAATGCCATAATCCAGTCTCAAGGGTTACCAACTCATGGCCAATCTTGTTTCATTTCTACTTCTCCCCATCCCATCTCCTACCCTCCCCGCCACATGCACACACTCTTTCCCTCCCTAGCTCCAGTGGATTATTTTGAAAATAATTCTAGATAGGTCAATTCAGATATAAATATTTGCATTTTTATTTCTTAAAAGATAAAGACTTTTTAAAACACATAACCATTATACCATCGTCAGTCATAAAAAGATTGATAATTCTGTAATAGCATCTAATATCCAGTAAGTCACTTTCTTTTAATAAGACACTGTGAGCTTTATATTTTTTACATTATTACTTTTGGAGTGATTTCTGTCATCTTAGTTTACGTTTTTATTCTTTCCTTGTGGGTTTTTTTTTTTTTTTTTTTTTTTTCTCTTCATATGGATTTTATTTGAGGAGTTTGTGAAATATAGAAGAAAGAATTATGAGCTAGAAAGACCTGGGTTTGAATCCTGCTTCTGCCATTCACTAATTAACTTTGCTGAGCTTTGGTTTCCTCACCTGTAAAATAGGGGTAATTATACCTACCTCATGGTTTTAGGGTTGAATGTGATATCTGCATAAAGTACTGTTAGTAGTCTCTATCAGTTATCTTCTTTAGTGATTTGGACTGTAATAAACATCTATTCTTGGTTATTATGTAGTTTTTTAAAACTTTCCAAAATTTATATTTATTAGATAATTGCTAAAAATAGTGGTTTTTAAATATCCTTTTAGGAGAGACAGAGAATCCACATTAATTTAACCTGAGGTTACTAATCTTACCTTTGACTTTCTGAAGTGTTTTTTCTTTTATATTGTTTAGTACTTATGTCAGTTATTTATTCTTCATTATTGACCCTTTTTCCTTTTGTGGGTTTAAGATTTTATCCAATTATTTCTAGATGTTGGTGTCAGTATACTTCACCAGTACTTTGCTACCTCAGTATTCTTGAGCTCTTTTTTTGATTCTCTTTTGATGGCCTAGGACGTACCCTTGAACAATTTACTGAAAAATGATACTACTAGGATGGTGACATTTTATAAGATTTTGCAGATCTGAGAATAATTACCTGTGACCTTTGTACGTGAAATACTAGGGTGAGATATAAAGTTCTTTGATCATAATTTTTCCCTTTCAACTCTCTGTAACTCATTACTTCATTGTCTTCTGGCATTTTATTGTTGCGGAGGAGAAATCTGAGGTCAATCTGATTTTAGTTCCTTTGAAATAACCTATTTTTTTCTGCTTGTATGCTTGTAGGATTATATCTTTATCCTTGAAATTTAAAAACATTTGCCAGGACATGTTTTGGTGTTGATGATCTCTGTTGAACCTTCTCAGTCTCCAGTCTCAGGTATTTTTTTTTCAGAACTGGATAGTTTTCTTATACTTTTGATTGATTAAACTGCTGTTTTTTTGTTGTTGTTTTGTTTTTCTTTAGGAACATCAGTTATTCATAGATTATTTCTTCGTCTGTCCTCCATAGTTTCATAGTTTTTAATCTTTTCTTTCTTTTCTTTTTTCATTGACTCAAGTTTGTCCTCTGTGGCATGGATTCTGTTTTCTACAGTGTCAATTCTAAACTTGCTATTCATGATGCAGATTTAATTTTGGCTACTGTGTTTTCATTTCTGTATTCTTATCTCAACATACTCTTGTTTCATAAGCAGAATTCCCTTTAGGGGTACACTTTCAAGAACATGGGGTGGATTCAGGCCTGAAACTTCTTTATTTTCTGAGGCCACATCCACAGGACCAGGAAAATTTTTTTAAAAGCTTCTGAAAGGGTCCTCTTAAACTTTAAAATGTAGATATAACCAGAGATCATTCCTATCCTAGTCTAGAAACCAGAACAGTCTTGGGTACTAACAGGACTTTAGTAGCTAGAGGAATAGCAAAGCGGGCATACGGGCACCTTAACTAGAAATAATCTGATTTTTCTAATTACATTTACTGTTTTTTTCTTTATAAAAATAATACAAAATAAATGCATATAATTTTGAAAGTATAACACAAAGAAGAAAATCCTATGACCCAGGTAACTACTGATAAGATTTTATATATGTTTTGCTACACACATGCACACATGTTGGGGGGGAGGGTTGCAAAGTTGGGGTCATACTATATAGTTTTGTATCTTTTTAATTTAATATACTACAAGAATATTTTTTGCATCATTAATTTTTCTTTGAGGCCCTGATTTTAACCATTGCATAGTGTTCCTACATATGAATAGATGTATTATGATTTATTTAACCAGTCCCCTGTTGATCATTTAGATTGTTTTCTATTTTTCAGTATAATGAGTATGATGAATATCACTGTACATAAGTCTTTATGCACATCTCTGATATTTCCTTAGGATAAATGAGGAGCTGATTCTTAATCCTGTCACATTGGTAAGGATTATATACATTCCTTATTAAGAATATAAAATGCTTGTTTCTTATTGTTTCAATGTGATTTGCATAGAAGATTCTTTAGATTCTGAACAATTTGATGGTATCTTAACTAAAGTTTGAGAGAGGTTTCTAATGCCTCATGCTCAGCACCTTCATGATGGAACTCCTATTGCATAAGCTTTGGGCAGGAAAACCACTGCTGACATCAGGGAGTTGGAAGGCAGATATACTTGTGGCAACTTGAGAGTGGTTAAAATAAAAATAAGGTGTGGTCCTTGCTCATTCCTATGATCTGGTACACCCTATTAATACGTTAGGGCTCTGGACCCTTTCTTTTTCTCCTCCTTTCTGTTATTTCAGATTGTTATTCTCTATGAGGAACCCTTTTCATTTCTAGGTAGGAGAATGTCAGTATTACACTTAATATCTTACTAAGATCAAGGTAGCAATTTATCAATCACAGATCATTTTTTAGTCCTAGTATATGTGAATTGATGATCTCTTGCTGGACTCAAAAGTATTTTTTTTTTAACTATTTTATATTTTCTTCAGAGGTATCAAACAGCAGCCTGGAAATGTGCATTGTTATACCATTACAACAAAATGATCTATTTAATAGGGTTGCTTAAAATGAAAATTTTTTAAATAATAAAATATGAATATTTTATTATTGCCAGAATTTCCCTTAAAATGCTTGGGAATACTCTAGAAGTCCTGAAACCTTGGTTCAGAATTGCTGATTTGAATTGTTCTTCACCTGAAAGATGATTTTAAGTGACAATTTTATGCAACATTGAAAGTTTTGAAAACAATTCCTGCTAAAACTCAAGAGAACAGTCTGTCTGATTTGTTCTGAAGAGACCCATATTGTAGGTTATTCTAATTTGTGGCTTTGTGCACATGTCAGACTAACAAAGTAAAGCACGATTAGCATTTTCTGATCTTTTCCAGTATTTCACATCATATTTGCATATATACAATCTGCCAAGCTCCACAATTTTTTTGGTTGGGAGGCATTATAGTGGGATAAGAGAGGATAAATACATTTGCCTCACTTTTAAACTATTTTTTTGACCATATTCATTCTTTAGCCACATTGTATTAAAATATAGCACACACACGAATGATCTCTTTCACTCTGCTTGGCAGGAAATTGGTTATAATAATGGTTAAACAGGTATCTCAACACTCTCCTATGCTTCTTCATTGCATTACATCTTTAAAAGTTATCTGTAGACATGTAAATATTACACAGTCAATTGAGGCAAAAGGAGGGAAAAGAGGTAGCATTTACTGAGCATCTACTGTCCCTTGGTGAATCCTTTTAATTATAGCATCCCTCTGAGGTAGATATTTATGTGCATATTACCAGTGAAGAAACTGAGGTTCAAAATGTTAAGTAACTTACCTGAGTTTAGGTAACTACACCAGTAAGTGACAGAGCTGGTGTTTAAACCTGGTACTAGTCAGCTTCAGAACACGTGTTTTTTTTTCATTTGTCTCTGAAAATTACAGAAATATATTTTCTTGTTTAATAGATACTATACCTTGAACTTTGGGAACTATAGAAAGTACAATATCAAGTCAGACTGATCCATGTAACCTAATCTCTAATGAAACCAAAGGTTATTTTTCAAAAGGGAAACTTCTTAACTGCAGAAGTAACTTTATATGCATTTCTAATAGATAACATTCGAATCCTTATTTTGATGAAATGATACAAAAGATTCCTTGAAACAAAGGTGCTTTTTTTGGTAGAAAAAGCTTTGTAAATATTCACTGGTATGTAGGATAACATTGACTTCATATTTTCCTGCTCTAAAATTGAGTTGTTCAAAATTTTAAATCTTTGCTAAACTCCAAAAGAACGTAGATATTTTTGCAAAAAAGTAGAGCATAAAATACCTTTTGGATCATGTTTCACTTAATTTTTTTCCTAGATTGCTTTGTTAGTATGTACTAACTGTTAATTAGCTAGGTGAATAGTTCAGAAAAGAAGGCATATTGTAAAATTCATAGATGACATAAAGCTGAAAATAGTGAAGAGGCTGATTGAGATTTGGAAGCCAGTATATAGAGACTGTAGCACTGGGTCATAGCTGGAAAAAAGGTGAATTAAAAATTTAAACGAGGCTTTATTCATGGGACTAAGAGTAACAACAGGTACAGGATAGAGGATGTAAGCCTTAGTTGCAGTGTAAGTAAAGAAGACAAGGATTAAATCAACAGAAAACTTAGTCTGAGTCAGCAGTGTGTTGTGGGCATTCCACAAATAATGCATTAATAACGTGAACTGCATTAATATAAACTTATTATCTAGAACAAGGGAGGTGATATGCCCTTTACTTTGCATTGGTTATATCAGGGTTGGAATGGTGATTACATGCAATTCCATATATCACCCTTTAAGATGAATTGGAGCATGCTCAGAAAAGAAGATGGTAATAGAAAGGAATGTTTGAAGGAACTTAGTTATTTAGAAAAGACAAGATTCAGGGTGGTTTATAGTCATAGATGTGGATTTCCTTCTTGTGACTTTGTAGATAGCATACAGGCAAGTTAATCATCACTTATTAGTAATCCTCTTTAAGGGAATTTGTGGCTGAGGAAAGTTACTATTTAATGAAGAATTTTATCTAGCAGGCAGTGCTTTTTCTGAGATAGTGTAAATAGACTACCTGGTGAGTAGTATGTTCTTGTCCTGATAGTGTTCAAGTATAGGTGAGAACAGGGTAGAAAGAGTTAAAATATGATGTGTAATTAGAACAGAAGACTTTTGAGATCCCTTACCAATCTTAATTTTTTTTTTTTTTAATCCAAGATCCAAAGGCCTTTATGGAGTATTACTTTATTATAGTGAAGCTACCACACCTTAATAATAGTAATTTGCATTGGTATAGCTCTTAGTTTATAAAATGCTCTCTTAGGCTCATAACTCAGATAACTCATAATAATAACCCTTTGGGTACACAGGGTAAGTAACCCCATTTTGAACAGATAAAGTAATAGGCTAAGAGAAACTCTGAATTGCCCCAAATCATAAAGCTTCTAAGTGGCAGGCCTAGGGCTCTACCTCTGGTCTATCATTTCCAACTTCAGTGCTTTTTCTACTGTCTCAGTTTGTTTTAAAAATAATTTATAAGTTGTGATACTTGCTTTGCATACATTGAAAATTGCAAGGAGCAGACAGTACTCAAAAATTTTATCCCACAGAAAATGTAAGTGTAGCTCAAGTTAGACCAAAGGTTCTAAAAGCCAAATAATGGGGAGTCATTGAGAAGATCTGTGTTATAGAAAGATAACTGTTTACAATTAATGAGAAAAACTAGTTTGGGCTACTAGATGAATGATGGTTCACTAAAATAGCAAATATAGGAGAGGTGGCAGGTTGGTGAGCCATAGATGAATTTGGACATAATAAAAATAGCTAACATTGATTGTTTACTAAGTGCCAAGTACTGTGCTTGGGGTTTTCTGTCATTTATCTCATTTAGTCTTCATAACAACCACCTGAAGATAAGACTTTTTAGTTCTCATTTTCCATATGAAGAAACTAAATCTTAGTTTAAATGAACTGTCCAAGTCTTCATTATTAGTAGTGTAAGAGCAGAAATTTGAATCTGTGTGTCTGACTCCAAAACCAGTGTTCTTAAGAGCTAGTTTAAGGTTTCTTTGGGATGTTTGGATAAAAACGATCAGTAGTTGAGTGAATGGTTGTAGTTTTTAGGAGAAAGAAGTATCCTGGAGATATTTGGGTGTCCTCACCATAGAAGTGGGCAATATTGTAGCCTCTAAAAGTGGTTTAGGAAAATACAAATTTTATACCTGCCTCCCCCTTTTTTCTGCATTTTGGTACCATTTCTGTGCTTTGTAGTATTGTATAGGCATTCCTTAACCTAAGAGCATCCTCTATGAGTGGTGAAAATGAAAGGTGCCCTTTGTGTAGGTCAGTAGACCTTCTAGGATGGGGGCCATGTTTTATTTACCTTTTATCTCCAGGTCAATGCCTAGAACAGAGCATGAATGGAATGAAGTGAATGAATGGCTGGATGGATGGATGGTAAATAGGGATGTGAAGAGTAGAGAGAGGAGTTCAAATTCAGAGCAGCTGCCTCATGTGGGGTATGGAGGGATGGGTGGGCTGCCTTTTTTTAATCCCAATTGATAATGCACCAAAGACAATTAGCTTAGATCCTTGTACACTTGTTGAGTTAACAAGGAGTCAGGAACTACTTTGTTTCCATTGAGGAAATGAGAAAAGACACTATGTGTTCCTGACTTCTGTTTTTTTTTTTTTTTTAAATTACACAAATAATATATATTCATTGTAGACATTGTAGGCACATCAGAAAATTTAAATAAGCAAAAATAAGCAAAGTTTAAATTGTCTAAAATTCTGCCACCCAGAGATAGCCACTGTTAACATTTTGGTGTATATCCTTCCAAAGTTTTCCCATACAAATATATACATTGAAACATGTATATATTTATTTAAAATGGGGTCATTACAATCCATATTGTTTTGTAAACTGCTTTTTCACTTATTACATGTGGCTGTCTTTCCATGTCAATAAATTTACATCTTTATCATCTTTTTTAATGACTGCATAGTATTCCATTATATGATGTACCATAAAATATTTAACTAGTTCTTTTAAAATTTAGGTTTCCGATTTTGAGTTCTTTTTGGAAAAAAAAGTTATGGTGAGCATTCTTGTACATCTTTGTACACTTGTCCATTTTTTTTTAAAAAAGAAGTAGAATTAATGGGACATCTCAGTTTTGTGTGGTGTGTTTTATGGTTTTTTTTAAAATACAGACTCAGATGGCCTTCCTGAAAGGTTGTGCTAATTTACACTTTCTTCAGCGATATATCCAGAATGCTCTTTTCCCATATTCACGTTAGCACTGGGTGTTTTTTACTTTGTTTTGTTTTGTTTGTAAATCATTACCAATTTGAAAGGCAAAAGGTATCTTTGGGTTAAATGCATTTCTTTGATTAGTGCTGAGTCTGAACTCTTTTTTCCCTTATTGCTCATTTCTGTTGAGGTTCATCGTTTTTTCTTACAGGTTTGTAAAACAAAGCTCTTTTATGTATTGAGGATACCAACCCTTTGTCATATGTTGCTTTCTTTTTTTTTGTAATCAGTTTGTCTTTTATCTTTTTTGTGTCTGGCAGAAGTTTTAAACTTTTATAGATTCAAATGTCTTTTTCTTTATGATTTCTACCCTTCTTATCCTATGAGTATTATTTACCCATATTCTAATACTTGTATAGTTTTATTTTTTGACACTTAAATGTTTATTCCATCTGGAACTTATTTTGATATAGAGATCTAACTTAATTTTCTCTGAAATAATTAATCAGTTTCCCTGATTAATTATCAATGGAGTTGGAATTTAGGATGTGTTTTACCATACAAAGTTTTGTAAGTTATGTTTGGTGAAGCTTTAATAAGACCATCTGTAATGCATTTAACTATTAAACTCAAGGGCTTACCTGGAAAGGTAATCATCATTTATTATATTATTTCCAAGGAAAAATGTTTTTATACTTTTAAATAATTAACTTACAGATTAACTTTTCAAGCACAACCTGTTGCAAATTGCAACTACATATTTATATTGTGTTTCTATTTCATTAGAACCCTTTATGGGTGAAAATATTCCTCAATGATTTTTTTTTTTTTTTTTTTTTTTTTTCTGCATTCATTTAACTTTAAACTGATGAGAAATCTGTTTTTGTGACTTTCTACTTGCTGTGCTTTTCACAGAATGGACAGCAAATTATGGATGAACCTATGGGAGAGGAGGAGATTAATCCACAAACTGTAAGTAAAATATCGTGTCACAAGGAGTATAGATAAATCAGATACCATAAAATTATTCTCATTTTTAAACTGAGCGAAGTAGTCATTTTACAGTATTAGAAATTTGTTGATGCTTTCACATTAATTTTACCAAGATATATTCTTGAATATACCAGTGACCTTTCTAAAAACTGTTTGATAAGACTGATTTTAAGAGAATGACAAAACAAATTCTTCTGTTGTTGAAAGTTTTTCATTAGTGCCTTAAAGCTTATTCTTTTTTAAAAATCAAACTGACCATAAATGTATTAAAGCCAAAAATATAAAGGTCATACTTTACGGAAATTTTTAACGTAAAAAGTGGACATTCACCATTTCCTTATCCGTTTTTTTGTTCACTCCTGAATCCCCAGCACCTAGACCAATGCCTGGTGCATAACAGACACTCATTAAATATTGCATAAATGAATTAGTAAATTGTTCCTCCCCCCACAGAATAATCATTGTCAACAGCTCAGTTATATAGTATTCTTGTTTTTCTATGTATATGACAATTATTATGTTTACAAAATACATATATTCTGTAACTTGGTCTTTTCACTTAACATGTCTTGAACATATTTTTCTGATAATACATATAGGTCTACCTCTCTTTTTAAAATGGTTACACAGTATTCTGTTTTATGCACATCTTATATTTAATGTAATTTTCCCTTATTTATTTTTGTGAACTTGTGTTTCAGTAGGATATAAGTCTTAGAAAAGGATGTGCTGGAACAAATTGTATGAAATCTCAATAGACGTTACCAAATTGTCCTCCAAAAAGATTGTAAAAATTTCAGTGTACCTGTTTGGCCATTCTCTATTCAACACTGGATTTTATCAGAAAATAATTTTCATTTGGGGCCGGCCCGGTGGCGCACTGCTACAGTGCGCCGCTTGGGAGCATGGCGGTGCTCCCGCCGAGGGTTCGGATCCCACATACAGACCGGCCGCTCACTGGCTGAGCAAGGTGCGGGTGCGACGCTGAGGGTTGCGATCCCGTTGCCGGTCCCGGTCCCATACGGGCGTGACACTGAGGGTTGCGATCCCGTTGCCGGTCCCGGTCCCATACGGGCGTGACACTGAGGGTTGCGATCTGCTGCCGGTCACGAAAAAAGACAAAAAGGGAAAAAAAAAAAGAAAGAAAATAATTTTCATTTGAGCCACTCGAAATAAGTAATACTTTCTCATTTTAATTTGCATCTCATTTGTTTATTAGTGAGGTTACGTATCCATACATTATTGGTCTTTATATTTTATGTTTTGCCCAATTTTCTTTTGGGTTAGTTGTCTCTTTATTGGTCTGTACAATCTCTGTACATATTCTGGATGTTAACTCTATGTCTATTCTGTATCTTGCAAATACTTTCTCCCTCTTTTTTTAAAACGTTGATTATTATCTTTCATTGTATACATACCGAAGTTTTCCAAATGCTTACAACTGGCTTCTGGGTTTCATGTTTTGGTTAGAAAATCCTTCCCTGTACCAAAGTTTATAAAAATATCCTGTTATATTTTCATCTACTTTTATGGTTTGTTTGTTTGTTTTTTATTTAGATCTGTGATCCACTTAGAATTTTAGTACCAGGTATGAGGTAGAAATCTAACTCTTTCCAAATAACCTATTGTCTTAATCCCTATTTATTGAATAAGTAAAATCCATTCTTTCCCTACTCATTTGATCTATATACCTCTTTTATCATATATAAAATTGCCTTACACCCCTTATATCAGTTTCTTAGGGCTGCCATAACAAATTACCACAAACTGAGTGGCTTAAAACAACAGAAATTTATTCTCTCACAGCTTTGGAGGGTAGAAATCGAAATCAAAGTTTCAACAGGACCATGCTCTGAGGGATTTGAGGGAGGATTCTTTCTGCCTGTTCTGGCTTCTGGTGTTTGCCAGTAATCCTTGGCATTCCTTGGCTTGTAGACACATCATTCCAATCTCTACCTTGGTCATCACATGGTGTTCTCCCTGTGTCTCTGTGTCCAGATTTCCCTCTTCTCATAAGGATCAGTTATTGGATTAGGGCCCATCCTACTCCAGTATGACTTCATCTTAACTTAATTACATCTGCAAAGACTCTATTTTCAAATAAGGTCACATTCACAGGTACTGGGGATTAAAAATTGAACATATCTTTTGAAGAACACAGTTAAACCAACAACTCTCCTGAATGTTTTGACTTTACATACTTTTTCAGTTACTGTAGTTGTATTATGTTTTTATATGTGACAAGGCAAGCCCTCTCACCTTTTTACTTTCCAAAATTGTAGTCTTATACATTTAATCTTCCAGATGAACTTTATAATCAGTTTGTCAAGTACTCCTGAAAATTTTATTGGGATTTTTATTAGAATTGCATTAAATTTGCAGGTTAACATGAAAAAAATATGTCTTCACATTCAGAAACATTTATTTATTTCTATATTCTTTTATATCCTTTATGAAAAATTTATGGTTTCTTACATATAGTTTTTGTACATTTCTTATTAAGGTAATTCATGGGAATTTTATAGTTTTTATTATATTGTACCTGGGATTTTTGTTGTTGTTATTATGCCTTCCATCTGTTTATTGCTAGAAAAAAAAGTTTCTATGTACTTTTTATTGTCTTGGGAAAGTTTACTTTTCAGAAATCAAACAAATTGTCATGATAATTGTGTCACTTATGGAAGAGTGAGATCATTATACTCCTCTGATTAAGTCTCCTCAATAGTTTTGTGCTTCCTTTAAATAAAGTCCAAATTGCAACATGAGCTACCAGGCCCTGATAATAAGGTCTTTGTATACTTCTCGCCACACACCTCCACCCCCTACTGAAAGTCTGGTCACTCAAATGCATCAGCTTCCCTTTTACTTCTGGGCTTTCACAGGTGATGTTCCCTTCCAAGAATTATTTTCCTTTACCACCTCCTTCTGTTTAATTCCTGATCATCCTTCAGATCCAAGTTTAGATATCATTTCAATTGAGACATCTTTCCAACACAACTACCACTCCCAGTTCCACCTTAAGTTAAGCATTTTTCCTTTGTGCCGCCATTGCAGCCTATGAGTACTCTAAATGGCAGCACCACACAAGATTCCATTGCTTTTTTTTTAAATGTACAACCAATAGAAATTTACTGCTCACTGATTTGCAGGCTGGGAAGTCCAAGATCTAGGCACCGGTGAGGCCTATTCTCAGCTTCCAATATGGTGCCTTCTTTTTTTTTTTTTTTTTTTTTCCTGAAGTTAGAGAATCATTTATTGATTAGCAATGAGAACAAATTCAGAGGAAGCTTCTTTCAATGGTCTAATGACAGAGTTGTACCAGGCATAAGAAAAGATGTCTGTTGGGCCGGCCCGTGGCTCACTCAGGAGAGTGCGGTGCTGGTAACACCAAGGCCCCGGGTTCAGATCCCATATTGGGATGGCCAGTTCGCTCACTGGCTGAGCATGGTGCTGACAACACCAAGTCAAGGGTTAAGATCCCCTTACCGGTCATCTTTTAAAAAAAAAAAGAAAAGATGTCTGTTGATAAGGATTTTCAAAATAAAAATGGTAAATTGTGATTTATCTTTCCTGGAGGTATTTAAAATTGTTTATTTTTATCACTGAAAATGAGAATAAACATTATATACTCTTCTAGATTCCCTTCTAATTTGCCTGTTAATTTCATTATAATTCAAAATGCTTTGTGAAACTGGAAATACAAAGAAGGAAAAATTAAATCTAATTAACATTAAACATTTTTCTAAAGCACAATACAGTAGTTGAACAAAAATATAATTATGTTTTAAAATACATTTTAAAAACATTTTCATGTAGTCTTTATACACCAAATCGAAGTCAGTGCTTTAAAAAACTAGTTTATGCTCCTGACCATTATGTTTTGTTTTTTTAAAGAAAATGTAGTTTTATTAATATTATTTTTTGCATTCTAGGATGTTGTTGCAGAGTGGTTGGGCAGTTGGGAAGGAGAGAGGTGGGGAAAGGGGAAGGAAATATGATGGAAGAAGGAGGGGCGGGCTGACCATTATGTTTTCAGTTTTTCATGTTTTGTTTTTCTGTGATATATTTTTAGGTTTCAAGTGGAATTCTGTCACATAAAGACAAATAAAACAAGTGGAATAAAATGTTTATATATGTATAAACTATTTAGTGAACACAAAATTTACTTATATAAAAGCCATTTAGTGAATATTTATAATTTCTAGTGAATATTGCCCATAAGGTTTTCTGTAATGTTAAATTGTAAGAAAAATATTTTTTCTTATTGTATATTATTACTGTTTTTATTTATTTATTTTATTGGTTATGAATATTCATGGAGTACAAAGCAAATTGTCACCACTTGTGCCAATGTGTGATGTGATGTGATGGCCAAATCTATACTGGCAGCATGCCCATACTGGCAGCATGCCCATACTGGCAGCATGCCCATTATATGGTGCCTTCTTGCTGTGTCCTCACTTGGTAGAAGGGGATGGAAGGCTGAGGAACTCCATTGCCTATTTCCTTGTCCATATTCCCTACTAAATTATAAGCTGCATGAGGTAGCGACCAAGTCTGACTTATCCCTTGTTTTATCTCTGATGCCTAGTACCCAGTTGGTGTTCAGTTAAGTATTAGTTAATTTTTTAAATACATGGATTAAGTTTAAGGTAGCACAGGGATCCAAGCATGGAGCCTAGTGCCCGAGGCTACCTTCAGGTTTGGTCTCGATTCCTACCTCCTCCCAAGCCATTTGAGGCATTTTACTTCATTAATCCACAGTATATATATTTACATGTAAGCAAATGTAAAAACAATCAGTAAATGTTACCCACCAGCTACCTTTTTTTCTTTGTCTAACAATTCCTTTGGAAGGAAAACCTCCAGTTTTTCATTCCCTCTAGTCTAAAATTAAAGCATTTTCCGTCATGATGGTATATGGCTTATACTTTCTCTCATGGCATTAGTAGCATTTACACCAGGGAGAAAACTGCATT